TAGACCTCTAACTAAAGTTCCGGTTCAGAGTGTGACTCACGGGGAGGTGAGCTACACTCAAAAAGAATGGCTTGAGTTTTCCAATTTATGTGAGCAGAAATCTGGAGAACAGGCATGGGAATGAATGTTAAGGGTGTGGGACAATGCTCGAAAGAACACACAGATGGATCAGGCTGAATTTATTGATTTGGGCCCTCTAAGTTCACTGGACAAAGTGAAGTAGGGATCCTGCATTTAATGTTGCAGCTTGGGGAGTTAAAAAAGTTCCTAATAGTTTATTTCCCTGGCTGGCTGAAATACAGATTAAAAGATGGCCCACTGTGAGCAAGCCAGAAATGCTTGAGCTCCCTTGGTTTAATGTAGAATAAGGCATCCGAAGCCTTAGGGATATCGGGATGGCGGAGTGGATTAGTCACTTCAGATCTACTCATCCCAGCTTGGAGGGCCCAGAAGATACACCCTTGACTAGTGATTTGCAAAGCAGCACCTGCATCTTTGAAGAGCCCTGTAATTGCTCTTCTCTGTATGTTAGATCTAGCAGAGGGAAGCAAAGTCACTCATCTACAAAAATTTAAACACAATGAAAACAACTGGATTCTGAGGTGGCAGGGGCCAAGTGGCAGCACTCAACCCACAAAGGCAAGGTGGGTATAGCTACCATAACGGACAGCAGAGGCAAAGCAGCAATCATAGTCTGACTCATGTAGAGTTCTGGCATTGGCTAATTATCACCATGTTCCTAGAAGTGAAGCTCACAGGAAGCCTACCGCATTCCTACTTAATTTACATAAGCAGAAAACTTCCAGGTCAAATGGATGAGACTAATTTGAATTACAAAAGCAGAGAATCAGCCCCTCAATCAATTTCCAGACTTGGGCCAGTTTACAGACCCAGAACCCCTTGAATGAAGGGGAGGCCAGGTGCCCTGAGGAAGGACCCCACTATACTACTGACAATTTATGCTGTTAATCTTTCTCCCATCCTTCCCCAAGACCTCTGGCTTTCTACCAGGGTAACTGTACACTGGAGAAAGGGAAATGATCAGACATTTCAGGAACTACTGGACACAGAGACTGAGCTGATGTTGATTCCAGGTGGGCCTCACATTAAAGTAGGGGCTTATGGACGTCAGGAGTTTTAGCTCAGGTCCGACTTACAGTGGGTCCAGCGGGCCCCCGGCCTCAAACTGGTCACTTCCCCAGTGCCAGAATGCATGACTGGCATAGACAGACCTAGCAGCTGACAGAACCCCACACTGGCTCCGACTGGTAGGGCGAGGGCAACTAAGGTAGGAAAGGCCAAATGGAAGCCATCAGAGCTGCCTCTACCCAGAAAAAGAAATCAAAACCACTATCACATGCCTGGAGGAAATGCGACAAGTACCACCATCAAGGACTTTAAAGATGCAGGGGTGGTGATTCCTACCACATCCCCATTCCACTCTCCCATTCGGTCTGTGCAGAAGACAGATGGATCTTGGAGAGTGACAGTGGATTATTGTAAGCTTAACCTAGTGGTGACTCCAACTGCAGCTGCTGTCCCAGATGTGGTTTCACCGCATGAGCAAACCAACATGTCTCCTGGTACCTGGTGTGCAGCCACTGACGTGGCAAATACCTTTTTCTCCATTCCTGTCCATAAGGCCCACCAGAAGCAAGACGCCTTCAGCTGGCAAGGCCAGCAATATACCTGTCCTGTCCTACCTCAGGGGCCTATCAACGCTCCATCCTTGTCAGAATCTTATTCAGAAAGAACCTGATTGCTTTTTTGCTTCCACAAGGTATCACACTGGTCCATTACATTGATGACATTAAGCTGACTGGATTCAGTGAGCAAGTAGCAGCAAACACACTGGACTTACTCGTCAGATATTTGCGTGCCAGAGGATGGGAAATAAATCTAACCAAAAATCCAGGACCCTCTACCTCAGTAAAATTTCTAAGGGTCCGTGGCGTACGGCCTGCTGAGATATGCCCTCTAAGGTGAAGAACAAATTGCTGCATTTGGTCCTTTCTAGAATCAGGAAAGAGGCAAAATGTCCAGTGGCCCTGTTTGGATTTTGGAGGCAATACATTCCTCATTTGGGTGTGTTACTCTGGCACATTGATCGAGAGATCTGAAAGGCTGCCAGTTTTCAGGGGGGTCCAGAACAGAAGGCTCTGCAACAGGTCCAGGCCGCTCTGCCACTTGGGCCAAATGACCCAGCAGATCCAATGGTGCCTGAGGTATCACTGGCAGATAGGGATGCTGTCTGGAGCCTTTGGCAGGCCCACAGGTGAATCACAGCAGAGGCCTCTAGGATTCTGGAGCAAGGCCCTGCCAGCTTCTGCAGAGATAAATGTTCTCCTTTCGAGAGACAGCTCTTGGCCTGTTACAATATGGGTCATCAAGTCGCCATGTGACCTGAACTGCCTATCATGAACTGGGTGCTTTCTGGCCCAGCTAGCCATAAAGTGGGTCATGCACAGCAGCATTCCATCAACAGATGAAAGTGGTATTATATGTGATTGAGCTTGAGCAGGTCCTAAAGGCACGAGTGGCTCAAATGCCCATGGACTACACTCCTGCCACCTCGCCTTCCCTCCCCTAGCCTGCACCAATGATCAGTTGGGGAGTTCCCTATGATCAGCTGACAGGGAAAGAAAAGACGAGGGCCTGGTTCACAGATGGTTCTGCATGATATGCAGGCACCATCTCAAAGTGGACAGCTGCAGCACTTCAGCCCCTTCTAGGACATCCCCGAAGGGCAGCACTGAAGGGAAATCTTCCCAGTGGGCAGAACGTCAAGCAGTGCACCTGGCTGGTGTACTATGCACAGGAGGAGAAGTGGCCAGATGTGTGATTATATACTGTTTCATGGGCTGTAGCCAATGATTTGGCTGGATGGTAAGGGACTTGGAAGAAGCATGATTGGAAAGTTGGTGACAAAGAAATCTGGGAAGAGGGATGTGGATGGACCTCTCTGGGTGGCCAAAAACTGTGAAGATATTTGTATTCCATGTGAGTGCTCACCAACGGATGGCCTCAGCAGAGGAGGATTTTAATAATTAAGTGGATAGGATGACCCATTCTGTGGACACCACTCAGCCTCTTTCCCCAGCCACCCCAGTCATTACCCAACGGGCCCACGAACAAAATGGCCACGGTGGCAGGGATTGAGGTTATGAAGGGGCTCAGCAACATGGACCAGCACTGAGCCCCTCAATACGGCACCATTCCCCAGGGTGATTAGCCAGCTACCTGGCAGCAGGCTGATTACACTGGACCTCCTCCAACAGGGAAAGGGCAGATGTTTGTCCTCACTAGAATAGATACTTACTCTGGATATGGGTTTGCCTACCCTGCACACGCTTCTGCCAAGACTACCCTTCACGGACTCATGGAATGCCTTATCCACAGTCACGGTATTCCACACAGTATGGTCTCTGACCAAGGCACTCCCTTTGTGGGTAAGCAAGTGCAGAAGTGGGCTCATGCTCACGGAATTCACTGGATGGCCTTTTGAAGTCACAATTACAATACCAACTAGTTGACAATACTTTGCAGGGCTGGGGCAAAGTTCTCCAGTAGGCCAGGTATGCTCTGAATTAGCATCCAATATATGGTGCTGTTTTTCCCATAGCCAGGATTCATGCCCTGTGATTAAAGTCAATGGGAAATCACAACAGCCCAATCCAGGCAAGACTAAAAACGGTCCAGACCCTTCAGGAACGAAGGTTTGGGTCACTCTACCAGGAAACAAATAACCACGACCTGCTGAGGTGCTTGCCGACAGCAAGGTGAATACAGAATGGGTAAGAGAAGAAGGTGGTGATCAATTCCAACTATGGCCACATGGCCAGCTGCAGAAATGAGGACTACAACTGCCGTATTTCCTCCTTCTTTTGTTAAAAACATGTTTGTGATATATACACTTGTACTAAGAAAATATCTGCATTTTATTTCATCTATCATGCAATATAAGATTTATTGACTTCATATCAGCATTTAAGTAGTGTTACCTTTATGTAATAGCACTTAGGTTGAAGATTGGTGAGTTTCCAGTTGTATGAAGAATAGTTGTATTATGTTAGGCGTAATTACGACCTTATTATTCTTTATTTGAAGATTATGTACGATCTCAGGAGATGTGTACAGGTTCAAGTTGACAAGGTATGGACTTGATGGTTAACCTGGTGTCAACGTGAATGGATTGAAGGGTGCAGCATACTGATCCTGGGTGTGTCCGTGAGGGTTGCCAAAGGAGAGTAACATTTGAGTCAGTAGCTGGAAAGGCAGGTCCACCCTTAATCTGGGTGGGCCCCATCTAATCAGCTGCCAGCACAGCCAGAATATAAACATGAAAAACACGTAAGGACTAGACCGGCTTGGCCTACCAGCCTACATCTTTCTTCCATGCTGGATGCTTCCTGCCCTCCATCATCGGACTCCAGGTTCTTCAGCTTTGGGACCCGGACTGGCTTTCTTGCTCCTCAGCTTGCAGACGACCTATGTGGGACCTTGTGATCATGTGAGTTAATACTACTTAATAAACTCCCTTTTTTATATATGTCTATTCGTTCTGTCCCTCTAGAGAACCCTGACCAATACAGGTGGTCACTCTTGTCTTGAACTCACTAAGGCAGAAAAAGCCATAGAGGATAGACAGTGACACGAGCAGACCCAGACAGAGAAGCCAGGACACCACTGTGGCGGTTGTCAGTTCCTACACCAGCCCCTCATGAAGCACAGCTGGAAATTCTACCTTTGGGTCCTGCAAAATATCCCACTTCCTTCTGTCACCTTCTTCTCCTTTGGCTGGGAGCCAAAGAGTAGTCTGTCTTTAGCCCAAAGAGATACAGCGAGACCAGACAGGAAAAGGTGAATATAGAAAATGACTAAAGCTGTGGGAAAGAGGCAAGGTAGATTCCAGGGGCCTTCTTGTGCAGCCAGGCCCGGAATCAAAAGGTGAAATAAAGGAGGTGGCAGGTCCCTTGCATTGTGGAGAGGGAAGGCCTTACCCAGAGACACCAGGAGTCCACAGTTTTCCAGCATCACCTCCTGATACAGGGTCCGCTGCGCTAGGTCCAGCTGCCCCCACTCCTCCTCGGTGAAAGTCACAGCCACATCATCAAAGGTAACAGAAACCTGGAAAGTCAATTAGAAGTAGTAGTATTGGCCTTTCAGCTGCTGACTGTGATCACAGATTGTGCTCCACTGGAAAAGGTGCAGAGAGATGGGGTCCTGAAGCCGGGCACCTCCTGAGGGTCTAGCTCTATGCTGGGCTCAAGAGGGAAGGCATTATCCTCAAGCTTTGAAGATAATACCAGAGCAAAGGAGAGGAGTCTCCTATTTAAGGCCACTAGAGAATGACACAGGACAATGGAAACAACAGTGGACTGTGAGATACAGATACTAAGGGTTTTAAAAGGACAGGGAAATGAGGAAATGGTAATAATAGCAATTATGGTTACAACAGCAATACAAGTCTCACTGGTCCAGCTCGGTGCCTGCCCCATGTTGAAGGCTTCACATCCTGTGTTAAAGTGATTAGAAGTCCCCAGCTCCAAACACGTGAAACTGACACTTGACAGCTGTTACCTCAAATATATCATTTTCTTTCTTTGAGCCTTGATTTCTGGATCAATACAATAATACTTCCCACTAGTAACAGTTGTTAAATTTAAAGAGAAATTATCCAATGCTCAGTGTGCTCTGGGATTTTTATTAATCCTTCCACAGCTCCTGCAATCAACACCATCATGGCCTCCAGTCAGTGACTTGATGTGAAGGAAGCTGTATCAATTCACCCCGTCACACATCTCACCACCGCAGCTAGGATCTAAACATGGAGTTACCATGATTCATGGTCTAACAGTGTAACTCCAGCACTTCATCACAGCAAATCTAATGCAATGAAGTTATAAAGCATTTCCACTCATTTCTGCCTTTAAATCCATTTCACTTAGCCCTGAAAACCTATCTGTGGGCCAGGCATGATGGCTCATGCCTGTAATTCCAGCACTTTGGGAGGTTGAGATGCGCGGATCACTTGAGTCCAGGACTTCCATACCAGCATGGCAAATATGATGAAACCCCATCGCCGGGCGCGGTGGCTCACGCCTGTAATCCTAGCACTTTGGGAGGCCGAGGTGGGTGGATCATCTGAGGTCAGGAGTTCAAGACCAGCCTGGCCATCATGGTGAAACCCCATCTTAAAAAAAAAGAAACCCCATCTCTCCTAAAAATACAAAAATTCACCAGGTGTGGTGGTACATGCCTGTAATCCCAATTACTTGGAAAGCTGGGACAGGAGAATTGCTTGAACCTGGCGGGTAGAGACTACAGTGAAGCAAGATTGCGCCCCTGCACTCCAGCCTGACTGACAGAGAGAGACCCTGTCTCAAAACAAAACAAAACAAAAAAGCTATCTGCGAACACGGGCACAGAAAGCACAACATTCCTCACTGACCCCACATGAGAGGCACTGGAGAGATTTGCATCTACTTGGAGAACGACGGGCCCCAGACCCGCTTCCCATGACCTCTGGGATCTCTCTGGGTCTCCCAACCCACTCTCCGCGCCCCCCAACCCCCGAAAAGGAAGTTCCGACATAACTTCTCTCTTGAGCCCACGGAACACGAGTGGCCAAGGATAATGCCGGCTGTGGCCATGAGAATAAAAATGAGAATAAGGGCCTCTGACCGGCCACAATGTCTGTATTAGCTGCGAATGGGTGGAACATCCAGGAAAAGACCACACACTCCTTCCCTCCTTGTCTCAGCAGCCGCAGAAAACCAGGGCAACCTCCCAGGCCCTCCTGGGCCTCCTGAAACGTACAATATACCTTGTGTCTGCCCACGCACTTTGGTCGGTCTGTTGCTGCCCTGCCCTCCACTTCCCCACTCAGAGCCCCAATTTCCTGCTGGAATGAGACCCGGTCCCCCAGAGTGGATGCTTGCAGGCCAAGGATGATGGGAGTCCCCAGAGGAAGCATCATTCACTCGACAACCTACAAAGCTCCCTCCAGCAGGCCCAACACCCCTTAGGACCAGGTATAAATTAAGTGGCTGTAGTCCCAGCTACTCGGGAGACGAGGCAGGGACCCCCACCTGAACCCAGGAGGCGGAGGTTGCGGTGAGCCGAGATCGCGCCATTGCACTCCAGCCTGGGTAACGAGAGCAAAACTCCGTCTCAAAAAAAAAAAACAAAAAAAAAAGCTCCCGTAATTTTAAACAAGACGATGCTTGGATGACCTCGGACTGTTCCAAATGCAGCCCTGGTATCAGCTCTTTCACCAAGGAATGTATTCCTTTATTCCTTCTCATGGAGATAGGCATTTAGAAACCAAATCTTCTATTAGCTATGTGTCGTGCTATTAGTATGTAGCAGTGCATCCATCACCTGAGTCCTGGACACTGTAGCTACTACGTACTTCTAAATCTTTCACCCCCTTCTGAGTCTCCAGGGTCTATTATTCCACTGAGGCTGAGACAAACAAATGCAAAAATGTTCACGTGTACCAACAGTTCAGCTTCCAGTTATAAATGAGAACATGCAGCTGGGCGCGGTGGCTCACGCCTATAATCCCAGCACTTTGGGAGGCCGAGGCGGGTGGACCACGAGGTCAAGAGATGGAGACCATCCTGGTCAACATGGTGAAACCCCATCTCTACTAAAAATACAAAAAATTAGCTGGGCACGGTGGTGCGCGCCTGTAATCCCAGCACTTTGGGAGGCCGAGGCGGGTGGACCACGAGGTCAAGAGATCGAGACCATCTTGGTCAACATGGTGAAACCCCATCTCTACTAAAAATACAAAAAATTAGCTGGGCACGGTGGTGCGCGCCTGTAATCCCAGCACTTTGGGAGGCCGAGGCGGGTGGATCACGAGGTCAAGAGATCGAGACCATCTTGGTCAACATGGTGAAACCCCGTCTCTTCTAAAAATACAAAAAATTAGCTGGGCGTGGTGACGCAGCCTGTAATCCCAGCACTTTGGGAGGCCGAGGCGGGTGGATCACGACGTCAAGAGATCGAGACCATCTTGGTCAACATGGTGAAACCCCGTCTCTTCTAAAAATACAAAAAATTAGCTGGGCGTGGTGACGCAGCCTGTAATCCCAGCACTTTGGGAGGCCGAGGCGGGTGGATCACGACGTCAAGAGATCGAGACCATCCTGGTCAACATGGTGAGACCCCGTCTCTACTAAAAATGCAAAAAATTAGCTGGGCATGGTGGCGCGTGCCTGTAATCCCAGCTACTCAGGAGGCTGAGGCAGGAGAATTGCCTGAACCCAGGAGGCGGAGGATGCGGTGAACCGAGATCGCGCCATTGCACTCCAGCCTGGGTAACAAGAGCGAAACTCCGTCTCAAAAAAAAAAAAAAAAAAAAAAAAAAAATTAAGTGGCAAACCAGCTCTACACACCAAAGCGAACGACCACCGCGAAGACAAATCCGGGGGCTACCCGGGCTCCCACCCACTACGGGAACCGCCTCTGGCCCGGCACGGGAGCGGCGACGGCGAAGCCACCGTCCGTCCACTCACCTGAACCCGGTCCGTCAGCACCGCTGCCGCCATCACGTCACCCCCTGGGCCGCAGAGCTGGGACAGAGGAGCCCCGGGCGGCTCGGCGGACCCCCACGTGTGCCCGGCCCTGGCAGCCGCGCTCGGGGCCGCCGCCTCCTCGGTGGCAACGGCTCTCCAGACCCAGGGCGCCGCCTCCCCGATGGTATCGGCGATGCAGACCCAGCGCGCAGCCCCGCTGAAGGGCGGGGGAGGAGAGACCGCGGCCTGACGGCGACCCAGGAACAAGCCCGGTGACGCTCGGTCAAGCTCGTACAAAGGTGCGCCGGGGATTCCTACTCTCCTCCCCGCCTCGGTCCTGACTAGGGCCCTGGAAAGCGGCCCCGGCCGAGACCCTCAGCGGCTCCAGACTGCTTCGGACACAAGCGCAGAGAAAAATGGCGTCCGCAGCGAACAACCCGGAAGTCCCGCCCCCGCCGGTGTGGGCCGCCGGAAACGTCCCCGTCCTAGGCCACCATTGGCCCAGCTCCCGCTGCAAGCTAAATGCACAGACTTGGCCGGACGCGGTGGCTCACGCCTGTAATCCCAACACTTTGGGAGGCCGAGGAGGGTGGATCACGAGGTCAAGAGATCGAGACCATCCAGGTCAACATGGTGAAAGCCCATCTCTACTAAAAACACAAAAAATTAGCTGGGCATGGTGGTGCGTGCCTGTAATCCCAGCTACTCAGGAGGCTGAGGCAGGAGAATTGCCTGAACCCAGGAGGCGGAGGTTGCGGTGAGCCGAGATCCCGCCATTGCACTCCAGTCTGGGTAACAAGAGTGAAACTCCGTCTCAAAAAAAAAAAAAAAAAAAAAAAAGGCACAGACCTCTAGGTACTGTAGGTTTCCTAACGTGTTCAGCCAGGAGAGGAATGCTTCACGGTGCAAATTTTCCTCCCAGGGAAAGGCCCTCTCGGACCCAAGGACATGCTCCAGACCCACCTCTTTGCTGTGGGCACAACTCGAGGGGAAGGATGGAGGGACAGAAGGTTAGCCCGCTTTCTTCTCTGGGGAAGATCGGAGCTCGGGAGACAGGGACTTTAGTTCAGGTCAGGGCACATGCAAAGGCGCAGAACCGGGTCCTCAGCTCGCCTGGCGACTGGCACTCTTTCAGATGCCTCCTCCCTGGATCATCTTCTTGGAAGCCACAAAAAAATAGCCTGATGACCGTCTGGAAGCCCTGCCCCGACATGTGTGCGTAAACGGCCCTCTTTTGGGCCTCCTTTGCACCAGCGCAGCCTCCACGCGATGCAGGGAATCCTGTAGTTGGCCCAGACCACACAAAAAGTGGATTTGCCCACTTCTGAGATGGGGAGCCTGCAAGTGGAGGAGGCTCGTAGACTCAGGATGGTTAGTTTGAAATGTCTATAAAACCACAAAGTATGTAATCCCAGCACTTTGGAAGGCTGAGGCGAGTGCATCACAAGGTCAACAGATCAAGACCATCCTGGTCAACATGGTGAAACCCCGTTTCTACTAAAAATACAAAAAATTAGCTGGTCATGGTGGTGCGTGCCTGTAATCCCAGCTACTCGGGAGGCTGAGGCAGGAGAATTGCCTGAACCCAGGAGGCGGAGGTTGCAGTGAGCCGAGATCGTGCCATTGCACTCCAGCCTGGGTAACAAGAGCGAAACGCCATCTCAAAAACAAAAACAAAAACAAAAAAATTATAAAGTATCTCTGTCACAGGCAATTCAACTTACACTGCGTGTTGGAAGAAGGTTTGAGCATTGACACATGAATTTAAGAGTTGTTATCTTACACTGTTATTTCAAGTCATGATACTGAGTGAGACCATCAAGGCAATAAATGTAGATGGAGAAGAGAATAGACAGAGCGTGAGCAGGTGACCGAGTCTACATCATTAAGTGGTTAATGACAATATTACCGGAAAGGCCAGACTTTACATCTAGGTGCACGCTGCACAGAAGGCCAATCAGTGAGACAATGAGCGTTGCCAGGGAGGAAAGGCTTTATTCGGTGTTGCAGTTGAGGAGAATGGGAGATTAATCCCAAATCCCTTTCCTCAACTGACCAAAACGAGGGGTTTATACATCAAGGAAGAAGTATAACTATGTGTGAGAAAACAGGAAGTAGGAAGGGGTCAGGAAGAGGAATGGGTCAACAGGCAGCAGACAGTTATTTAGGCAATCATGATGGGTAAGGGGTACAGCATCTCATTTTCCAGATGTGGTAATCCAGCAAGTTTCAACTTCTTGGTACTGTCTGGGAGGCCTGATGCTTGGGTTCCTTAGAAAGGAAATCAGATTAGGTAACTCTAAGTGGCTCTAGTTTTAGGAATGGGAGGCTCAATGTCTATAATGTGTTTATTCAAAAGAAACCATTAATATCAGTTTTTTTGGACACTGGAGCTGGTTTCACTTCCCTCTTTCTGTTTATCAATTCCTCAATCATGGGGCATCTGGACTTGATCTTTCTGGCTGCTTTATGCTGAGGAGGGCTATGGTGGGCAGCTCCATGCCATAGATGACCACGTGGCCACTCAGATTAACCCAAAGATTAATCCAACACTATATTTTTCTTTCCTTCCTTCCTCCTTTCCTTCTCTTTCCCTCTCCCTTTCCTTTCTTTCCTTTGAGGGGACTTTGCTCTTTCGCCCAGGCTGGAGTGCAGTGGTGCAATCTCAGCCCACTGCAACCTCTGCTTTCCGGTTTCCAGTGATTCTCATGCTTCAGCTTCTTGAGTAGCTGGGATTACGGGTGCCTATCCCCACGCCCAGCTAATTTTTGTATTTTCAGTAGAAACGGGGTTTCACCATGTTGGTCAGGCTGGTCTCAAACTCCTGACCTCGTGATCCACCTGCCTCAGCCTCCCAAAGTGAGCCACCACACCTGGCAGCGCTGTAGTTTTCTTTGGAAACACAGTTTTTCTCTCTCCAGTCCCTGACTTCCATCAAAGGCAAATCATAGTAGGAACAACCTATCTGCAAAATAAGCTTCTGTCCCACTATGCTTACCCAAACAAAGTTCAGCAAGAATCACTGTTTTACAGTTCCTCCTAAATTGGCGTTGCTGGAACCCCTCACAAGGAATCTCTCAGACTTGACCTCCAAAGACCTCTCAAGCGCAGCCAAAGCTTCATCTGCACCTGCAGATAACTGCATGAATTAGGTGAAAACCCCTTTTCTTAAGGCTCCAAAACACCTTGAGGTTCCTGGGCCTATCAGAGAATGGCACTGTATTTACTGCAGGCCAGGAACCCTGCAAAGGAACTGCGTACACAAGATATGAGGCCAGTCCTTCCAAAGGCTCCCGTCAGCTCCACAAAGTCAGTCTCAATTCCTCAAAGCGGTCTGCTCATACTTAAGAACATACCATTCCAGTCAAGCCCTGGGAAAATACCCAGTGCCTACAATTGTGTTACAAAAGAACGTGGATTTTTAAAAACGGAGATAGGGTCTTGCTCTTTTACCCAGACCAGAGTGCAGTGGCATGATTATAGCTCGCTACAGCCTCAAACTCCTGGGATCAAGTGATCCTCCTGCCTCAGCCTCCAAAGTAGCTGGGACTACAGGTGTGTGCCACCAGACCTAGCTAGAAAGCAGATTCTTATTGAACATACGCAAACAACCACATTGCCATGAATTAATAATATTCACAAATAGTTTCTGAATTCTGGAGAAATCAGGCAGAGAGAGAAATAGTCTTCAAATTTTGTTTACAAGTGTATTCTCAATTGTTGAAGGCTATAGATAGCTCGAAGGAAAAAAGTTTCATGGAGACAGAAAGTAGATTTCAAAAAAAAGTCCTCCTGACTCAGAAACAAAAAAGAATCAGCAATGTTTAAAACAAACAAAAAATAGTACGTTCAGTCCTTGGAATAAATCTGTGTGTGGGTGTGGGTGGGGTGTTGGTGCGGGCGAGTGTCTGTTTATTCCTTTTCTCCCTAATTCCATTTCTCAACTGCATGAATCCTTTTTTTTTTTTTCACAATAATTTATTTATTGAGAGCCTCCTCTCCGCCCTTGCAGTCCCTAGGTCACTTTTTCCGCTTGTAGATTTTGCGCACAAGCCCCAGAAAGATAGCTGGGGGCAGGGCGCTGTGTACTGTTCAATGAGAGCCATAATGTGGTTGTAACTGTCTTCCTCATACTTCGAGAACGTGGCCGGCAGATCCAGCTCCTCCTATAATGCCTTCACTCTGGCCACCTTCTCAGCCTCCTTCTGCCCGTAATTTTCCTTCAGGATCTGGCACTGTTTCGGAGTGGACCGTTGCAGACACTGGACCACCAGCCAGCTGCATTTGTTGTCCTGCATGTCAGTGCCAACTTTGCCAGTCACACTGGGGTCCCCAAAGAGGTCCAGGTAATCATCCTGAATCTGAAAGAACTCTCCCATCTCCAGCAGGATCTTCTTGGCATTGGCATGCTCCTTCTCGCCATCAATTCCTGCCGTGTACATGGCTGCAGCTACAGGAAGGTAGAAGGAGTAGAAAGCCGTCTTGTACTTGACAATGGATTTGTACCTCTTTTCAGTGAATCTGCGGAGATCCACATTGTCCTGAGGGGCTGTGATGAGGTCCAGGGTCTGCCCAATCTCAGTCTGATAGGAACTCTGCAGGAAGAGCTCGATCAGGTTCAGGTGATGGGCCTGCTCCGGCAGTAGAGCTTCAGCAGGTGGTAGACACATGCTTTCAGAAGGATAGCATCATTGATGGCATCCAAACCCACACCTGGCTTCCGATACCAGCAGATCTGTCCCCGGCGGGTGAGGGATGAATCCATGGTGTTATCTGTCACCAGGAAGAAAGCTTACAGCAGTTCCACACACCAGCCCACAGTCAGGGCCCGCTGGAGACTATCAGCATCCTGTTTCCTTGGCTCCATCAGCTCCCGGAACGCTACGAGCCCCGTCAAACCCCGGTGATACTTGCCTCCAATGGCGTTGTACTCCAGGACCTCCTTGAGCCGAATGATAGCATCTCCTGTCTCTGGGTGCCCCATCTCATCCTCAGTCAGCACCGTAACAATCTGGGAGAAGTGCTGAACGAAATCCTGCTTTTCTTGGGCATAAACATCTGATTTCTGGTCTCCATTCATTCTGAGGGAGGAGCAAAGGGCTCTGTTCCTGGATGCAGGTTCCTGCTTCTGCATGAAAGATACTTTTTATCCTCTTGGCTCCACAATTAATGGAGAGAAAAAAAATCATCAACAGTGACTTTTAACAGTGCTTAATATACTATATAATAAAATATTTTTCATTTATAATAGTACAGTCCATGAAATCAACTCCTGCTCTGCAACATATTGGATACATATATATGTACATAGTTATGTATTTTATGAATACATCAGCCTTCTAATTAAAGTCCTAGAAGTTTTCACTCTAGACCAATAGAACAATCTCCAAAGCTACCAGGAGCTTGCATTCAAGAGTC